TTTGGTTTAATTAATTATTTAAAATTTCTTTAAATATTTTTAAATACTTCGTTCATCTTATTATTTTTTAAACAAGTGTTCCTTATTGCGTGCGTTTAGTTGAGAAGATTAAGAAGTTGTATTGGAAATTACTTCTTAAATCTGTTTTAATTTAAACTGTTTTCTTTAATCTTAATTTAATGGCATCGCTTTGCATTGATTGATGTTGCTCATTGTCCTTCTTACCACTCTGAGTGAGCCCTTGTTATTTCTGGAGATGCTTGCTGGCTGAGGTGAACCCTTGTCAACCCTTCTGTTAGAAAACGGTTGGTGCCACCTTCTTCCGTTTGTTTAGTTTGGGGTTACCCAGGATACCTTGTTCAGCAGAAAAACTTAAAGATATAAAATTTCTGTGGATTTGTTTTCTTTCTTTTTTCCTCAGACATCTTTATTTCTGCTTTTACTCCATTTTGCCATGTTTCATTCAGCAGACAGCACTTTGAAGCGCAATTCCATTCCTCCACCTCGCTGTCGTTTCACAGCCAGTTACTCTTCCTGTGAGAAACACGACAAACCTCGTCTTCGCTTGGCTAACCGGTTCTCAACGTTGTTTTTGTAGGTTGTGGTACTGCAACAGGGGGAGCTGAAGATGAGGGTGAGGCTGAAGCTGGCTGGATTGAAGGTGCTGCCATCCTTCTCTCTGTTATCTGTGTTGTACTTGTCACTGCCTTCAATGACTGGAGCAAGGAGAAGCAGTTTCGTGGGCTTCAAAGCCGTATTGAGCAGGAACAGAAATTCACTGTTGTCCGGGGCGGACAGGTTATCCAGATCCCAGTGGCAGAGATAGTAGTTGGTGACATTGCACAGGTGAAATATGGTAAGTTTTGTCAACTAGATGACTACTTTTCTGAACTTCGTTTATTCTCCTTTTCCCTTTGTAGCAGAATAGACTCACTTCACTGGAAGTGATTTAAAAGATAGAGAATTATGTGTTGTCATTATTGTCCACGGTATGAAACAATTTGTCTGTCAGGGCAAAAGAATACCCTAAATACTTGTTATAAAATTGCATTAGGTAATTAATTTTATTTCTGTAATCTTCACTTCCTTTCACTGTCAAGGACAAGAACTGTTCATACAAAGGTAATTCTCTTTCGTAGAGGATTACACTATTTGGAATTTTTGGTTTCTGTCCAGTTAGGAATAAGAGGGAATATTTTTAACTGCTCTGTGAAAGGGAATTGTGGTTCGGTGCTCCCCCCAGCCAGCAGGCTGCTCCAGGGCTCTGGACCCTGTCAGTCCCGCAGAGCGGGCGCTGCTGGCAGGAGGGGGGCTGGGGGTGGTAGTTCCTGCGCTCCGGGGGGCACGAGGACCTTTGCAGGAGCTCTGCGTGTGCTGTGTTTGACTGAACTGTTTGTTAGCCACTGCCAGTTCCCGGGAAGGCTGATAGAGAAACCTTCACCTCATGTTATAAAGAGCACCCCCCCCCGCCAAATATCAGCGATTGTTGTGTTCGTCATATGTTAGATGTGATGCATTCTGATTCTGGGATAGCACTAGGCAAAAAATATTCGCAGTACAAAGGCCTTCCCCTCTAGAATTGCGGCAATAGGGACTGGTACAGTAGTTCTTTCACCTTTGCTTTCATTTCACATTTAAATGTAATGATTGTTAACTGTGATTTTATTATATAAATCATGATGTAATTATAAAAACAATCTTACTCAACCACTGTGGTTTTCCATTGCCATATTCCTGTTTTTTGAAAGGTGATCTTCTACCTGCCGATGGGATATTTATTCAAGGAAATGATCTGAAAATCGATGAAAGTTCTCTAACTGGAGAGTCAGACCAAGTCCGCAAATCTGTTGACAAAGACCCAATGCTGCTGTCAGGTAAATCTCCCTGAATTCTGGCCGAGTTATCTGTTATGCACTGTTTTGTTCACGGTTTTTTTGTTTTGTTTTTCCACACCATCAGGTTTTGGTAACCTAGAGACAACTGATCTTCTGAACACAGATGCTGCCCTTGCCTGTTTGTTATACCAAAGCCGTGCTATTGCCATTTGGTTGTGTGCAATTATTTCTGATCATCATAATTATTTTATAAAGTGAGAAAGTAATGAAACATTTTCAGGGGAAAAGGAAAGTATCACTTAGGGAAATAACAATTGTTTCAATTCATTGTATGCTAGTTTTATTTAACCATTAAATTTCAAAGCCTTTTAAAGTCTCTGAACATCTTCTTTGTGTGTGTACTAGATACAATAGAAGAAGAAACAATGTGTTTAGAAGGAAATTGATATGCTGAAATATTCTGGGCTTGACTTCTGTGGTGAATTTAGGTTATTTGTAATATTTGTATTTTATAATATAATTCTATACAGTAAATCAGTTAAATAGAATGTGATTTTAAAAAATCTAATAATTTCTAAATAGGTTTGTCGTCTATAGATTCTAGCCGGGATGTGATTGCAAAATAACAGCCTGCACATCTCATAATGAGCGTCAATGTCTTATAACCTGAAACAGTAATTTTCAAATATATTTGAACTTTTTATTCGTGGAAAGGAGTCTCTTTGCTGTCTGGTTGTACAGTCAGCCAAGAGTCATCCCAAATAGAATATTTATGTTGCAGTGCAGCAGGTAAGAATCGCGTTCCCACAGAAATCCTGCCCCCATCCTGCCTCATTGTTGGGAGATGCTTTTGTTCAGAAGAGTGACACAGGGAGTGACAACTAAGAATATGTGACAGTTTTTATTGCATTAACAGCGCAATTCTTTCCCAAACTGAAAATCAGATAATTACTTCACTGACTATGAGATTGTGAGAGGTTATTAGGTAAATTACGGGATCGTGGTCTGCTTAAAAACCCTTCATATTTCAGTCAAAAGGTGACGGCATTAACTTAAGATGAAGAAATTGATAAAACTGTTTGTGGACTTGCCACTGCCACAGACTTCATGTTACGAAAGACTGTGTTAATTAATTTTAACTTGAGCAAGCTTCAAGCATCCTTCTACCTGAAACTGTGCATTAAGAACTGGAAGCTATGCTAAGGCACATGGAAAATAAGGAGATGACTGGTGACAACCAGCATGGCTTCACTAAGGGCAAATTGTGCCTGACAAGTGGCCTTCTACAACAGGGTTACAGCATTGGTGCGTAAGGGAAGAGCAACTGACAGCATCTACCTGGGCTTGTGCAAAGCCTTTGACACTCTTGCACAATATCCTTGTCTCTAAATTGGAGAGACATGGATTTGAGAGGTGGACCGCTCAGTGGATAAGGAACTGGCTGGACGGCCGCACTCAGAGTTGTGGTCAATGGCTCGGTGTCCCAGTGGAGACCGGGTACAAGAGGGGGTTCGGGTTGGTACTGGGACCAGTGTTGTTTAACATCTTTGTGGGAGACATGGACAGTGGGATGGAGTGCACCCTCAGCAAGTTTGCCAATGACACCAAGCTGTGTGGTGTGGTGACACAGTGGAGGGAAGGGATGCCATCCAGAGGGACCTGGACAGGCTTGAGAGGTGGGACCACACAAACCTCATGGAGTTCAACAAGGGCAAGTGCAAGGTCCTGCACGTGGGTTGAGGCAATCCCAAGCACAAATACAGGCTGGGTTACCATTAATTCTTATGCTCTCACATATTCCTAAATTGAGTTTGATCTTTTTGAATGCCCATAGATTTCAGTGGTGGCTGTGAAAAAACATGAAGGTATTGCCCTGAAAGGCATGGTGGGAAGAGAAAGCGAAAGCAGTCAAATTTTTCTTCCCAAAACTCAAATTTCTCTGGTGTAAGAAAAGAAATGTGTCTTTATGGGGTTTTTTTCAGAGTTAAGTAAATTTTATGCTCTTTATTTCTCTCAATTACTATGTAATCTCTATTGTGATTACAAAGAAGGTGAAGAGCTAATGTGATGTTTTAACAAGCACTGCACACACCTTTGTTCCGTACTTACACTGATGAATTTTCACTCATGCTGTGTTAGAAAATCCCTGAACTCTGTTTGCTCAGGAGCAGAGTTGATGATTTGAGATTCTATCATGCGAAAAAGTACCTTCTTCCAACAGACACAGTGCAAGAAGGTTTAATCTCAATGGTGCGTGAGCTGATGTGCCCACTGGAAATTGTTAGTAGTCTGAAAACCAAAAACTTGGAGACCACCATGCATTTCAGGATGGGTTTGACCTGGTTTAAAGCTGAGTTTCTGTTGGATGTTAGCCTAGACCTATATTTTCATAAAACTTATTTGAAGAAAAAAGAAAAAACCCACAAATCAACCCCCCTGCCAAAAACAGCAAACAGACCTTCAATTTTATTCTTATCTTTGCATCTGAAGACATCAGTAAGTTGTCTCCAGGTAGCCTTTAGGAATTTAGACAAGTATGTTGCTTGCTGCTGTTCTGCCTTAGTTATTGGGTAGAAATGAAAACAGTCCAGGTTTGACAGAGGAATAACTGAAAAAAGGTAACATTTGAATTGCAGCCACAGTTTGTTTTGTGACTCTAAGTTTGGAGAAAGGTAAACACCCTGAATCAGGAAGTGTTATTTTCACCATTGGTACCTGAAAAAAATCTGTAATATTCCATCAGTGTCAATGACATAATTAAACTAAATGAGTCTCTGTGCTTAATGTCCTGATTAGTCATCCAGATAGTCATTTACTGTACTTGAGAGGCAATTCTAGGACTACAAATGCTGACTAAAGCAGATGGTTCATTTCCATCTGTATGTAGCACATGTGGTGCCACCTCGGAAGGCAGAAATCAAAGTGTGGACTCTGATATACCTGAAACCAAAAGAAGCAACTTCTGTTCGATAGTTCCACTACACTTCTGTCTAAAACATTTTCCTTCTTTTACTTCATGAACAGAGATTTGCATGCATACTGTAGCGTAAGCCATTGCACCAGAAGTCATCAGCTCCAACGAGACCGTGGTGATGTTAAATTTCTCTGCAATGAGCATGGGCATGTATCGACCAACAGATGAAGACAGCTTGGCTCTGACTGCTGCTCATCTGTCTGGGCTGAAGATGATGTGCCCCTTGTTTTGTATAGTTCAGAGAAATCTGTGATTCCTAAATACAGAAGTTTTGAGTATGAGTCTGGCCTCAGTATTGCACACAGTGAAGTATTTTGGGGTACCACATGATAATAGCTAACGTTGGAAAAAACACCTTTTGAGGCTTACTGTTTAAAGCTTTTTCCCAAGTATTTAGATTAATTTGGTTAAGGCACAAAGAGTTACACTGAGGAGCTCAGCTGGCGTAGTTCTCACTGAACGGAGACTGACAGAACATTACTTCACCCTGACCCAGCTTTCATAAACGTGCGTTTCTATCAACGCACAACAAGGATTTGAAACAAAGAACATTTGAGAACAAATAAACAGAAGAAATCTCTTGGTCATGGTGCTTTGTTAGGTTTTGGAAATAAAAAAGAGCTTGATTAAGGAATCGGGCCAGTTACTGCGTGGAGAAAAGTAGTTCTGATTCTGTCTGAATTCCCTGACAGAATGTATTCCAAGCCAGGCGTCTAGCACAGACAGAGCAGCTAACTTCAAACGTCCCAAAGTGTTTGGATATGTCAGAATTACACGAAGATGAGGTTTTTTTCTGGAAAACTCTTGTTTGTTCAGAAAGGACATTCAGATGGTTGGTTCCCTTTATTATTAACTTGGGTTACCTCTGAATAATTGCAGTGACTCAGATTGTTGGTTAGGTACGCAAATAGAGGAGTTTCGTTCACCACAATTGTGTTAGAAGTAGCATAGCAGTATAAAACCCCCAGACTGGCATGCTCTGGTTTTCTTATTTCTCAGCCCGATTTCCAATCTGTTTCACCAGCACGGTTACTAGATGTGGTGATTTCTGAGCAGTCTCATGTTTAGTTGCATTTTTGTCTGGAAAAGTATGCGCTCTAATCAGTTCCTTACCTGTCTAACCTGGTTACCTCTTTTTTTAATAAACTAGGCTTCGTCCCTTCCTATCTTGGAACATTCATCATTTATCAACTTCAAATTAAATACTCAGTTTATGGAAAATGTTTTGTAAAAAGGGAGGGGAGAAAGAATCTTCCTGTGGCCATTCAGGTTTCGTAGATCTGAATGGCCAGTAAAGATTCTCCGTGAGAAGTTAATTCTATTCCCCATTTGCTCAGTGCACCAGGCTCGTAATTCAGTTCATTAAAAACCATTTTGCAAGAGTCTGCAGAAAGCTTGTTTGAAGATTTCTTTTATTTTTCGCTCTGGCTTCAGGCATGCCCTGCTGTTGTACACCTCACAACTACAGGCACCAGTGAGCAAGTTCACTTTAGTTTTAAAATATTGAGCAGTAATTACATAGGGGCAAGATGGTTGAGAAACAAGCACACCAGAATGTTTACCTCATTAGCCGCAGAATTGTTTGGGACAAGTCAGTTAATGACTCATTCATGCTGTTACAGAAGGAATGAAACAGTGGTGTTGTATAAAGTGAATTGAGAACCTTACATTTGTGGCAAGCTGGATAACCCTAAAGCAGGACAATGTCACCTGTAAAGTGAGGTGAGGATCTAGGGAACAATAGATTAAAAGCCAGCAAGGAGTAGTAGTTTGTCACAAACACTGCAGTGATTCAAGTGAGCATTGTAAGCAGTGTAATTGTTTAGTATCACAATGGTCAAACTGTTTAGTTGACTTAAAGACTCTTAAATAAAAAAGATGTTGGGAAGAAGAGTGAAAATGCTGTCTCTCTCCATGCCCCCATGCCTCCCCATACTCCCAAGGAAAATGTCCTTACGGACTATGTTCTCATTCCATCTGGGCTCATTCTTCTGATGTCCCACAGCTGCAAATCTGGGATAATGACTGGGCTTAAATATAATTTGCTTAAAACTATAGCACGCAGGATTAAAAACACTTGATAAATAATAGAATACTTTGTGAGCAGGTTCTAGTTAACCATAGTTCACTTGCAGGTATAAATACAGGTTTCTCTTTTTTGTATGCAATGATTTTTTTCTCAAGGCTAGCAGTTTGTGTGTTATGGTCTATTTTCATAGCTTCCAAACTACTTCTTTCTTCAAATACAGGAAAGAGTATTTTTAAAAAAATCAAGCCCAGTAAACTTTCAATCCTAGCTTTCTCTGTCAACTTTGTAAAGAAATGATTGCTTTTCCTCTGTGTTCTCCCAGTGACGTGCATTTAATAGGCATAACGTTTTCTACTGTTAAAGGATAAAATACAAAGTCTATTTCAATTAATAGCTTTATCTATCTATCAGTAGTTTCTGGTCTTAAATACGTGTCATGGCAATAGGTTGTTCTTCAGTTTCAAAATAGCCAGTGTGCAACTGTAAAGCAGAATACTTTTGATCATTTCTAGGAATTTCTATTTCTTTGTGTTTCTACAACTCATAGCAAGAGCTTTCTAAGAGGCTATGATCTAAGATGCACCTAATGTTTGCCTCAATAGAGGAATAAGAGCTGGAAATAATCTATACAATGTATACAGTCTATACAATGATATAATTACCTAGTTAAACAAATGATCCTTCTCAGAAAAACTTAATGTACATTTTGATTTGGTTTTGAGTAATAGAAATCTCTGTACATACTGAATTTGTTTTCAAGAGTGCATCAGATTTTTCTTGCTATTTGGGAACTCTTGATTTAATTAAACATCCCCTTGAAGGTTTTTCTCTGCATTGATTTTTCAAGTTTGCAGATCTGAAATAGTCTTCAAAAATATTTTTTTCTGTGAGTGTAAATCAGTCGTAACTGAGAAAGATGAGAGAAATTGCACACGTATTTTCACTTCATCTGCGTAATAGTATTCCAAGTTACAAGAATTAACTTGTGAAGCTAAACTATTATTTTACGAGATTATGTAAACTTGGTTAGTGACAACATTTCTTTTAAAAAGAGAATATAATGTGTGTGGTTAGTGGATGTGCAGCCTGAGATTTGCAGTTCAGCATCCTTTCTTGGCTGAGAATACTGTACAACAGTAGGGATTATTTTTGGTGTGTAATTATATTGGCCTCAGTATCAATTTTGGAAGTGTAACAAATCTCTTTCAGTACTACAGTAAAATATAGCCTTGCACAAAATATTTAATAGTTGTCCTTTTTAATTTTTTAGTTACTTATAACTTATTGCAAATTTTCAGGTACTCACGTCATGGAAGGCTCTGGACGAATGCTAGTAACTGCTGTGGGCGTGAATTCTCAGACAGGCATCATCTTCACCCTGCTAGGTGCTGGAGGAGAAGAAGAGGAAAAGAAAGATAAGAAAGGTAAATTTCACAACACGTTAGGATTCTCTGAAGAAAGCTCTTGGGCTTTGCGTAGCCAGAGATCTCCTCCATTCTTGAAAAATAAATACAGTTTTTAAAACTTCCTTTTTTTGTATACATTTTTGTCATTACATGTCACACAGAAAAACAGCAAATGCTGTTAACCAATAAAGACATTGGATAACAAGATGTTTTTCCAGTGTGAAATGGCAGCCTCTCAGTACATAACTAAATGCAAGGCAGTGCGTGGGCATACTCCCATTGCTGTGTCTTCTTTACATAAATCCATACTCATATAAAATTTGCTAAGGTTTTGCTCTCGTGCATTTACATCTATATATTTTTTTTTCCAGAAAAACAAAAAAAAAACTTGGCCATGGAAATAACATCTTTCTTTGAGCTTCAAAAATAAAAGAAAGATAAGATGTGGATTTTTGCTAGCCTGGTTGTTTAATGTCAGTGAGTGACTTTAGACGCATTTTAATTTCTTAGGGAGTAAAGGTCAAACTAAGAATAGTAAAAGAGAAAAAAAGTAGCAGTAAATGTTAACAGAGTTTAACTTTGATGTCCTGTATCAGTTAATGAAATCAAGAAGTCTCTTTAGACTTTTCACCGTATTGTAGTGCGATGTCCTGCCCAATTGCTAATTTATGGGTTGCACACTACGCAGAAATGTGATTTAATGTTTGTCCTTTCCAGTTTTTGTTCACACAGTCTTGTAAATTGTTCATGTTTACTTTCAGAATTTCATTATGAGTTTGTTCTCAGAATATTTCTCTTTCAGACATAATTAAGGGCCAAGTAATATGGGGTTTTTTAGACATTTCCACTCATTTATTGGCTTTCACTATTAATAAAAAAGAGTAGTTGTAGATTTACTGGGCATTTTACTTAGGATCTGCCTGGCAGCGTGATTCCACCTTTTTTTTATTTCCATCCTTTTAATTTGAAGCTACAGATAGGAAGGCCAAATTTAAATGGTTTTCATGAACTACAAGTTCTGAGTATGTTCAACAAGTGGTTGCACTTGGCTCCATGTTTCTCCGAGGAGATCCTTTTTTACTTGGTGAAAGACTTTATGAAACGTTTACCATTTCATTCCTACACAGAAATGCACAGTACCTGCTAGGCATGGGAAGTTCCAGGAGCACTCAAAGGGGAGAAAACAAAGCTTCCCAAAGTAAAACTCTCTCATGTCAGACTAGTTTTGAACTGTATCTTAGAATCTGATCTTGCTGTCATTAGGAGAAAGACTCCTGGACACAGAGCTTTTGGGACCTGGCAGCATCTGTCCTGGCAGTGTCCAGGGATGTTGTAGGTGGCAAGGAGCAGCTTCAGGACCTGTTTGAAGGCGGCAGCTGCCTGCCCGGAGCTCCTTTGTTCCCTGGGTTGGCCGCCTCTGTATATTATTTTGCTCAGGACATTGTGGATAGCCCTGAAAGGCAGGGAAGGAGAGCTCTGCCCTGCACTCTGCTCGGGACCTGCTGCCCAGAGACAGCTTGTTGTTGCAGAGGTGTGGGGGAGCTTGTGCAGACAGTGAATCCAGCTGGGTATAGCTGCAGTACCAAGAACATCCTTCACATTTTCTGAGGTTGCTGGCAGCTCTGTGCTGGTGCAGAGGAGGGCCTGGGCAGGGCTGGTTGCACCTTGAGGCCCAAACTCAGACCGTGTACTCTCATATAGAAACCTGCAATTCCCTGAAATCCTGCCAGTCATAACTGTTTGTTTCAGTCTTACGTGGCTGTATGCTTTGATCGCTCATTAACATTTTGTAAAAATCATCATGCAGGTGTGAAACAGGAGGATGGACATCAGCTTCCAGGTAGAGTAAGAATTGTACCACATCAAGCAAGGGGATGCGGCCTTGAGCCAGCAAGCTTTGGTGCAAATCAGGGTTGAACTAATGATTACAATCATTGTCTTTGGATCAGTCCAGTTAAATTAAAAGAATAATTTCAAATCAACAGGATTGTTTGTGGCAAACCTTTAAGTGTGCACTAATTGTCGGTGTTGCAGATCTCACTGTTAAGCTTGAATAATCCGTTATTCTGCAGAAGTCAATTACAGTATACTAAATATTGAAATGTGTGATTTGCGGTTAGCGGTTCATGCTGTGCTGGTTAGTACGAGTATCCAAATGGAATAAAAAATAAGCACAAGTAACCAAAACAGTTTAAGTTATTGCCATCACAGTAATCAAATTTGCAATTGAAATTTTCATGAACATAGTTGCACAGGGTTGGTTTTTAAATCCTGTCTGCTGTTTATTTTCTTCTCCCAATTTACCATTTGTAAACAGAACAAGACCATTTTTCTTGAATAACAAACCAGCACAGTGTGAAACGGGCGCTGTGGGTCAAGTATTGAAGAAGCGCAAGAGTCTCAATCAGGATTCATTATGGGACTTCTGAGATCTGTGGTGAACAATTAACCAACAGAAACAAAACAAAACTTATTTCATCTATTATTTGTAGAGACTAATTTTCTGAACTCTCATACAAAAAACCATAATAAAATAGTTACACCTTCTTTGAGTTTTTCACCCTCCTGTTCGGTAAGATTGCTTGACTGATTTCTCTAACATGCAGATAATTGCTGAGAACAAGAAGAGGATTTTCTTTTCTGATACTTTTTTCATCTCACCACAAAACAGGCAGTTACATAATGTCTGTTATTTGGATTCAAAATAACTCAGGATTCTCCTCGAGACAATATTTGCCAAGATTCTGTATTTCTTCTACATTTCCACATACAACATTGAAAAGTTTGATGTTTCTGCTCAGATCAATGCACACATAAACCAGGTTATGGCAGGACATCGACTGAGCCTGTGTTAGACTGGGATGTCTCAGCAACAATACATCATAATATGCGACATTACATAAAATACAAAATCTCTGATGTTGTCTATACTATGAGTATGTTGCATATTTTAAAACTACCCATGCATTGTGCGAATTCATTAATTCAAGGGAAATCGTTCAACCATGTGCATAGCACTGATTAAAATTTTAAAAATACACATAGAAGGACCAAAGCAGTGTACCTAGCACTGTGTACAGTCACCGATTCTGTTAACTTTGTTAAATGTCTTTATTAATTTTTATTTTATTCCATGTATGAGTTTTTGCCTTACTTTGTAACACCTTTGTTAATGACATTTTGCTTTTGAAAGTTACATTAATTAATTTAATCCAGATTGATTTTGGAGAAAACAAACCCCTAGTATTCCATAAATGTTTTTTGTTTTGTTGTGTGCATTTGTTCATATTGTTGTTGTTATTATTATTTAATTTTTTTTATCCATTATTGCTCAGTAGATTCTTCCCATCCCTCCTCCCACCCTCCTTCAGCCACAGATGGTGCAGCAGGTGCAAATGCCACAGATAATGCAAATGCCAGCTTAGTCAATGGTACGTCAAGAACACCTAGCTTGTTTTGTTTGATAGATTTCTCTCCTGACTATGTAAGATTCCCTCTGCCTTTTATGAACTGCACAGATGTTGTACGTGCATGTGACTACCCTCTGAGAGATCCTACTCCATAAACTCTCCAGTAGCTTGTAAGAGATGCCACAAAGATGCTGGGACTTGTTTACTTTGTTCACACAGAATTAAGCATGGGCAAGGAAGAAATAGGAATTATGATCTATTTGCCATTAATTCAAACTGCAACTAAAAGGAACAGTTAAGTAAGGCTAGTTTCAAAACTTTTGAGTTGCCTTTACATGAAGTTTCATTGTAAAGCTCTTCTTTACACATTTGTCAGCATAGCTCTGAAGACCACCGCTGTGATAGATGGGTTATATCTCCTCTTCTGATGTGGCACTCTCATAAGTATTCATACAGCCTTCGTGCAGTGCTGAGAAATGGTGCTGGGGTCAGGAGTCTGGCTCAGTTTTAACTCAGTGCTTTAGGAATAACTTTGTCTGCTTTGAGCATATTTTTTGGAAGAGACTGACTGAAAAGTTATGTTTGTGGATATTTGTCTATGCCCTTAGATAGTGATCGTCTAATGAGCCTGCTTGTATTTACTAAAAAGAAAAAAAAATATTACTGTAGTCAGTGTTGACTGTCTCTTAGTACAGCTTCTTGACCTCACTTCTTAGCATGCAGATATTTCAGTATCTCTTCTAATAGTCTAATTCCAGTATTAAATGGAATGGGTCGGTATTAGTCTAGCCATCAGCTGTGTTTTTCTGATAATCAGATGCATTAGGCTTCATCTGCCATAGAAACCTTTCCTTCTTCTGCAGCACCAGTAATGCTGACAAAACTAATTCTATTTTTCATTGTGTTGGTAAAGGAATTTTTTCCATGTAGGTCAGTAGCTGTTGCATTATGCATGTGAAACTGAAGTTTCTGACATGGTGATACCAAGTACTAAACAAGTACGAAGATTTACTAGTGTAATATCTCATTTAAAGCAATGGCATAGGAAATCTTTGAGCCCATTTTTAGAAAATTTTATTATAATTTAAAAGAAACATATAACCAGATTTAAAGCTTTACATTCTAAGTTTGCTGGAAAACGAGGATTTACGATCCCCACATCTCACCGCGTGACAGGAACCCATGTCATCCTGGTTCCAACACCCAATTTCAGATTCCTGAGAGACCAAGAACCAGGAAATTAATGATTAATATTTAATTCTCAGTTCTTTATAATTCTACTCCGCTGCGTGTAAAATAAACATACACGTCCAGCAAAGTCTTCGCAGATCTCCTCCCCAGTGCCGGTGGAGGCTGCAGCGTGCCGTGTCTGCTCAGTCCTGCAAGCTGCTGGGTACAGAGTTCAGCGCTGGCTGGAGGGCTGTGCTGGGTGAGAACCGCTGCTCTGCAAGGTGCAGAAATGAGTCCAGAGTCTTTCTAACCTGGCCTGTCTGCTGGCAAGTATTAGTTGCTTGGTGAATACCTGTTGTGTTTGGCCTTAATGCCTGAACTTAACGTGGCAATTGAGTTCCAAGGGATATTAAGCCCCTGTCTTAAGTCTGTGATTTTCCATCGTCTCCTCTCCCGTCAGAAACAAGAGTTACTGTCGCTGTTATGGTGGAACTGAGAGATACACACTCAGTTCTGTTCGCTGCACAAAGGGTGGAAGTCCGTTTTTTTGTGCAGCTGGGTACGTTTTCAATTTTAACTCTTCTGAGATGAGGTGGTTGAGTTAATGCTGCAGATCTTTGATCAACACGGACACTTTCCACATTTACCTGACATTGTGTTCAGAGGAGAACTGAGACTTCACAAGCAGAGTTAGATCTGAGTGCTTAGCAGTTGTCTGGGAAATTGCCAGATTCTGATTTCTGTTTATACTGTACATTTTTCCAGTTAGCAGTGATGATGAGTTAGAGAAAATGTAGATCTGTTTTAGAGGGGGGTTGGAGGGGAGGAAGAAAGGAAAAAAAGATTTCTAAAGCGAGGAGACAAAGTTCATGTAGATATTTTTTCAGTCTGGATGAAATGAAGTTTTCCACTGATGTCTGAGAATTCTCCCTGAGACTGGAAACAAGCATTTTACCTAAAGTCTAATACTTCTGTGTAGAAAATAGATTCTCCCTGAGACTGGAAACAAGCATTTTTGCCTAAAGTCTAATACCTCTGTGTAGAAAATAACTTCAAATAAGAGCAAAAATCTTATATAATCAAGCATTTAGCTCGGGAAATGCTATTGCTTGTTACTTGAAAAATCAACATGTGACTATTTCAAATAGTTACTGTCTTAGTTGCAATATAGAGTTGACACAAAATAAGTATTTCCAGTCAGTGATAAATCCGTGACACAAAATAAGTATTTCCAGTCAGTGAGCCCATAGCGATAAATCCATATAGGCTTGTGACACAGCCTCTGTTATCTGCCGTATCAAAGGAACTATTATACGTTCTCTTTGGTCCTAGTAGTGGAGATTAAAATACATAATTGTTTGATGGTCTCGCTGTTAAAACTATGGACAATATGTTCAGTTGTTAGAACGTTACAAGTTAAGGTTAGAAGCAGATCAGAAAATTTTACAGAAAGGTAGTAATTACTGAAAATTCATCTAATTTTAAAGTATTGTATTTAGAAAAGGTTAAATTTTTAAAAGAAATTATGGGAAGCTGCAGCTGTTTACAGCTTGTTCACCCCAAATTTGACTTCCTTAGAGAAAGGATGTTTATCATTGTCGGGTAGAGCACTACCCGATTCTTAGATCAGGATTTCCATGATGGGTTATTGGGGTTTTTTTGGCATTTGGTACTCAGAGAATTTGTTAGTTAAAATTATATTGTGATACAGCCATTCTGTAGCACACTCAGAAGTGTCTCAGCTGAAATGCTTTACATCCACTGTTACTTCTGTCAGTTCTGGCATGTGTACAGTACAGTTCAACTCCTGCAAAGCAATTTGCAGTTTTAATATATTTTGAACTATTTTCTGAACTGTAAGTGGAGTTATTTAGTGAGTGCATAGAAGAATTATCTAAAATTTCCTATTTGATACAGTGGGATCAGATGTATCAATGGGTTGGCTCTGATGCACACTGCATGGAAGAGTTCCTAATGGAATTCTTTTCCATCTTTTCAGATGTGTTTGATGGCACTTTTCCCCCTATATGTAGATTTGCAACAGGTATCTGTTCTTGCTAGCTGCAGAATAAAACTGACTTGGCATTTCTACTGCAAGATGAGACATTTTGGGAAATCACTAGGGTGTTTGATGTTTTTTTGCTCCATGACAGCACATGAGGACATAACTCGATTAGCTCCTTCGTTTGATTCCAGGCAGTTCCTCCAATGAATAAATAATTTTTAATGCCAGCGATAAGTCTTTGTTATTCTGGGGGAGGTAAAGGGGAGTCTTTTCTTGGAAAGTTTATTTGGAGAAATAAGTGTCTCTTGGATTAAGGATTTAGGCAGTAATGGTGCTATGGGTGCGTTCCAAAAGCCAGAAATAATTATAGTAAGGCAAAGGCAACATGCAAAATATTTTCCATTCAGATTCAAAACCTTCAAGTCAACTGCAAAGTTTAAGTCATGTTAGGAGGCTCTATATTCTTTTCTAAACCTTCTGATTTTTCATCGTTGCTTGGAAAAGTGATTAAAATAAACTCCGATGAATTCCTTCAGGTTTCGGGGCCCACACACTGTTCCTTTTGCTTATTTCCAAAAAGAAGAAGAAGAGGAGATTTGCAAAATTATGAAAAAAATATATTTTTAATGAATTATAGATAAAATATTATCAAAATATTTATAAATACTCATCCTTTGAGTGTTTCTAAACAATACACAAAGGTCAGAAAATGGGATAATATTTCTGGTCCTTACACTAACTGAAAGGAGAAAGGATCTCTCAGCAGTAGTGATTCTAGCATCTTAATTTCTTTCTTAATTTCTTTCTTCATTCATAATCTATAGCCAAGTGCAGGCTTAAAATTATTTCAAACTGAGGAAATAAATCCTTTACAGCATTCTTTTCTTTATCATAATTACCTAAATTACCTGTTCTTTGTTATTCTATCTTAATAATTGGAATATAACTAACTGTGATGACTTCCCCTCTCCATCCCCCAGTAACCTAAATGCAGTAGCTGCTGAAGTTAAGAATATATTTCTTAAATACTTATGTTTACATTGTTGTTAACGATGGTGCATTTTGTGTACTGGTATTTTTAGGTAGCTAAGGTAGATGAATTGTTAGTGTTGTTCATTACGACAATTATGATACTCTTATTAAATAGCAAATATATATCAGAAAGTTAAATATGTTGCTTTGTGTATTTTGTGTTTGTGAAGTTGAAGAACCTTCAGTTGTACTGCTTTAAGGTTTAGAATTGTATTCTGTAAAAGACAACTGTAGAGCAGGTCGTAGAGCAGATGGCTCTAAATTCATGTTTTCCAGTTCTGGAGGAAGGCTTTATCCTGTGGCCAGAATCAGAATCTCTAGAGATGCTTTATGTCTTCCACTAACTTTATTAAAAACCATTCTAAGCAAAACAGCCATTAGGCAGATAGCAAGTTCAACTGTGCACTGTATGCAGAAATTTTAAAGGAAATTTCCCAATGCAAACCAACTTGGTTGTGTTCAGGTTCATAGATCCATGCCTCATGGCAAAACACAAGTCTTTGGAAGATGGCTCCTGCCTGTTTAAAAGTCATTTTATACCAAGGTGGGAATGGAGTTAGAAACACAGAGAAGCAGTTGATGCTGAGTGGTTTGCTTCAGTAATCCACCTGAGCCCTGGGATGGTTACATGGAGCACAACATCCTTCACTGCAGTTCTGTGCTTCTGAATGCCCCAGTGCCTGCAGCCTGTTGGTGTGGGGCGCAGTGTATTCGTGATCAGTTCATGACCGATTTGGCCATTTTTGCTCTTTTTGAGAGGGAAGGTTTTTGTGATCTCCCTATTATTGAAAATACAGACATGCAAGAAATGCATCTCGGCCTTTTAATGTTGCTGCTATTTATTCACAGCATAGAGTGTAATAATTCATACAAATGTTGAAGCATAGTTTCTGCTGCTCATTGTGCATGCCAGTACCAGCCGTAGTATTGCAGGAAGCTAGAACAGCAAGACCTAACTGGTGTAATGTATTTCTTTTTTAATAAACTCTAATGATACATGTCTTCTTAGAATGTGTCAAAAGTCCTGTAAAGGTGTTTTAACTATTAATTTTCCTCAGCATTATTTTTATTATGCATTATACATAACTACAAAATGAGAATGTCATCTCTTCTAAATGTAATAAGTCAAGTAGTCTTTTCTGTAAGATAAATTCATTTATCACTGTGAAAGTTTCATAAGGGATCCCACCAAGGAATGTTGAATACATTTGAAATTGTTTACTGGTTATTCTGAATACCAAAGTTTCGTACGCTCCAATTTCTATTTCACCATTTTTACTTCATACACAGTTTGAAATGGTACATTTTCAGCATAAAAAAAGCAAATATGGACTTTGGTATGGTAAGACTATATGTAGCTAAAATAAATTGGAAATTACAGATGCACTTGGCAAATCTTTCTTTAGGACAAATCTGAATATAGGACGATCACCTGGCACTTGTATTTACAGGAGTAACTTGCTAAATAGTACAGCCAAGTGAGGAAGATGTAATTTTAAAATAATATCTGATTTACGTTTTTATTTACTTATGTTTATTGTCACTATTATTTATATTGTCTTAATCTACTAACATAATTAATTTTAATTCTGGAATACACAAGGAAAGTAATTCTCTGTACTGGTGTGTGCCAGAACGATACCTGTAGTTAAGTCCCAGCTCTCTCAAATTTCAGTTCAGGAATATTATTCAAATTCTGCTTCACACTGGATTCTTTTTATTAGCTCCACCCTCTTAATTTATGCTATTTGCTCAGAAATACGTGCTGATATTTAGTACTTTACATGTTAAAACTTTGAGCTTGACTGCAGTTCCTTGAATGTCTCCAGCTAAGTTGTCCATGCTTCTAAGTAAACATACGGTAACAATGGCTACTGACCATAAATATGTATCTGTGACACACTCATTACTTTTGTCTGCCCTTTTTATGTAAATTCCCATTTTCATGCTCTGTCTTGGGTGAAGATTGTTTACTGTCTGTTGTCTGTTGAAATTTTTCATCATATAGGCAAAATGCAGGATGGGAATATGGAGAACAGCCAGAACAAAGGTAATCTTCTTTCATATTAAGGAGGTTGTGGATTTCATTTCTAGCATGTAGTTAAATTCTGTTACAAAATAAAATGGAATTATTTGTGCCTGTGTATAAAAATGGCCCTATTGTTCAAACAGAATGTTTAAAAAACCCCCAAACAGCCAAACCCAATAAAAAAAAACAACCTATCAAAGAATTTGTAACTTACAGAATTGTGATATATCAGGTATTCAGGATAGGAGAAGATCCTTATTTCTAATAAGCCATTTATAGATGATACTCCCATGTCACAAAGCTCATTTGAACTCATTTTTCTTGTATGCTATGTATTGTTAGTGAATTTCCAGCCCTATTTTTGATATGTCTCGTCATCTTTGGTGTTTAATGGCATTGTATGGACATACTTTCATTTGCAGGGAGAAGGTAAAGCAATAACAGAAGGAAACTTTAAAGCCAAGAGGTTATTTAGCAATGTAAAAGCATATAACAAGGAGAAATAACAGGAAGATTAAGAATCTTAAGAGTTTCTTATTTAATGTACAATCTCAGGAAGAAATTGAAATAAATATTTAGCTTCCTCTGAAGCAAAGTCACGGTTCCCTTCTTATTGTATGAGACACCAGCTATCATGATGTCCTTGGGCTATGCCAAATAAGTAAATTAAACTATAATTTAGATAATTCTAAAGATTGCAAAGGTGGTGGATCAGAAACTGAATAGATAAACTCAGTTGTTGATGATACAAAACTGTTAAATAAAATATTCAATTAGTAAGTTTTAAGGTTAGATAGACGGATTACATTTCCAGGTCAAATAAGCATGGTTTTGCACAATCTGCTCTTGAATGTCACAGCAAAGCTGTTTCATCTCATTCTATTTAATTTACTTATATCTGTGTTCAATACAAAACAGACGCATACACATATATAGACTGGAATGTCATTGCTTTTAAAAGCCGTATCTTTCTCTTTGATACTAGAATAAAGTTTCCTTATATTAACATTAGCATTCTTTCAAGAAAGGATGGTTTAGCCTTTAAATTCTCTGTGCTTTTTATGGGAGAATCCACAACCATCTGACCTGATGGTTAAGTTACTTGAACACCGAAGGAAACTTTTACAGTCTGGCATTATCTAGAATAGCGGTTCGCAAAGTGTGCTCCGCTGGTCCCCGAGGTGCCCATGCAGGCAGGAGAAGCGGTGCATGGATCATCTGTGGAACCACGTTGCCTTTAAAATCTTTTCATTAAAAGTATGATTATAAAGGAGCATTGTAATCTATCAGACATACCAGAATGTAGAGGAATATAGACCTTCTATTTACCAAAGCATTGAGATCTGCTATTCTAGAAAATCCTGCAGTACGCATGTACTGTTACTTGCCGAGTAATTTGCAAGACATTAAGTGATATATATGTGTATAAGATAGAATTTCATTGGTAGTTTAAAAAAAATACATAAATAAAAAATGAGTGGTTTTCACGGTACTTAACAAACAGCATGTTACAGCCCTGTGTGTATGGAGTGCCCAGGGGTGTGCTGGTACATTTGTGCCCCTGCAGAACCCCACTGGGTCTCACGGGGCATCTGTCTGCCATGGCAGCGAGGGGTAATTCTGTGCAGCTGGGTTGCAGCCAGCCCCTGTAACGTGTGTTGCTGGTTGAATTTAGTAAGTATCAACACTCAGACAAAAAGAATGAATAGTTTTGGAGTAACAGTTTTGTTCTGCATTATCAGCCAAGCAGCAGGATGGGGCTGCTGCCATGGAGATGCAGCCGCTGAAGAGTGCAGAAGGGGGAGAGGGAGATGACAAAGACAAGAAGAAATCCAACATGCACAAGAAAGAAAAATCTGTTCTTCAGGGAAAGCTGACCAAGCTGGCAGTCCAGATAGGCAAAGCAGGTATGACTGGGTAACTGACCGCATAGCAGTGTGTTACACTAGCAACAAAGAGGTTTAAAACAAATTATTCTTGAAAGGCCTTTTGTACTGCAATATTTAGAAACAGGTCATCATAGTACTGTTCTAAGGATAGTATGTGGTATTGAAGTTCTTTTATTCTTCTAAAACTCAGCTTTTGACTGTCAAGAAACTGGAAGCTTTGGGCAAGTTGGGTTGTAATGAATATTTGAATCAAAACGAAATGTAGCTTTTCTCATAGGCAATAGTCCCAAGTGCAGTAATTACGTATTTAATTTCCTTTCCCCTTAGAACTTCTGAGTACAGTTTCAGAATCGCTAATATCATCTCACAATAACACTTGCGCAGTATTTGCCTCTTATGGATTCTGAAATCATTCTGTTCTCTGTCAAATATCCATGTTCCTGACTTTAACCCAAATATGACACATCTGTTGACTCTTGTATCCAGTACCATCTGGTCCCTGCTGTATAAGTAGCACTTCTCCCATGTGCAGGTTGAAAGTGAAAATCTGTCACAATGACATAATGTTCGTTGGGTTCATTTTTCTATTGGTATTAGAGATCTTGGTCTCTATCTAGATCCTTGTCTGAGGCCCTATAATAGGCTCCTGACCTTTGTTTAGTCTCCTTTATCCTTCTTCACCAGTCTGATTTTTTTTCCCCTGCCATTCCTTCTCATGCCCTTGTAAGTCCATTACACTTAGTTGATCACACAACCCAATGATGCCACTTCTGTCTCTCTGCCTGAACAGTGTGTGGCTCGGAATCTATGGGGATCATCACTGTATCCAATGTCATGCTTCGTCCAGTTTCATATTTCTCAAGCTTCTCTGCTTTGCTGCTAGTTACACAACAGTATGCATTGATATAAAAACACTTCATTTCTCATTATCATTAATTTCTTAGATGAAGTACCTTTCTACATTGCCTTCTGATTATTACTGTCTTTGGTATTCCGGCAGGCATGTGAATATCACTTTTAAAGTTATTGTTTAGGGATTTCTAACCATAATGTTTCAAGTAATATGAATTACATTAATTAATCATTGCCTCGTTTGGTTTTTCTTTGTTACTGGGCAATCTATGGGGATGTCTTGGGTTGTCATGAGTATTTGCCTATACAATATTGTAATGGATTTTCCTTTGTCCTCTGGCATTTGGCAGTCTCCCTGAGTCATCTGTTTCCTGTCAACCTTAGCATCCTTCAGTTTACCAATTTATTTTTTTTTTAACTTCAGTCAAGACATGAAATTCACAGCATTCCCCTTCTCCTGTATGATCTCATTAAAGAGAATTTCATTTATTTTGAAATGCAGCCTTAACTGCTTCATAGAAACCTGCCAAAGAGCAGTAATCCCAGCAAGGCAAATTAGATGTTCTAGTGGAGTTTATATTTGTACGCTGAAATCCAGGAACAAAATTGTGGAGGAGGAGTGCTATCTTAGCAGAGTCTGTATCATTGGGAGAGCATATTAAGTCCCTGGGATTTTTTTTTTAATTCTGAGAAATATTTATTAGTGTCTCTTGTACTATACTGCCAGTGTTGCACCTCTTCCAGGCCACTCCTCATAAGAATATGCACTGTTTGCATGCGTCCCTTTGAAAAGGCAGACCTTGGAAACACTAGTACTTATCACATTTTCAAGAAAAACAATTAAAAACTGTTCTGTGGATGATTCTGCAGAATTGCCTCTTTGTATTCAACCAGACGCATCAGTTAGGGCTTGTCTAAAATATTTTGTACACTGACATGAACTACAGGAGACTCCTTTTCTCAAGCCTCTTAAGCTTATTTAAAAGAAAGATGAGTGTTTGTGTATGGATAGACTAGTAATCTGTAAAAGGTGGAGGTTAAAAGGACAGATAGATGTTGTACTAGGCAAAGTAATATACTAAATTGAAAAATCTTAGCTTCAGCAACAGCAGAACTCCTGTTGAACTAGACTGACTGAGAAGCTTCAAAGGCAGCAGTAAGATGGTCCTTAAAAATGAATGCAGTATGATTCAGCTGTTCTGTAGAATTCAGTGTTTCCTTATTCACTGGAACGTACGGCTGTTGGAAATGTATTGTAGTAATGTTTTTTCTTCATTGTAAAATTTATCATTATCATCATTATTGGAACTGGTGAAATGTCTTGTAGAATATGAAAATAATTTCATGTGAAATTCAAATGTAAATTTCTAATTGCACATGTTTTAAATTGTGTTTGATTTTGTAGTAATTGATTATTTCTATTTTTAGGTCTGGTGATGTCTGCCATCACTGTAATCATTTTGGTACTATATTTTGCCATTGACACGTTTGTGGTCAACAAGAAGCAGTGGTTGCCTGAGTGCACTCCTGTCTACGTTCAGTATTTTGTTAAATTCTTCATTATTGGTGTTACTGTTCTTGTGGTAGCTGTTCCTGAGGGACTTCCACTTGCTGTCACTATTTCTCTGGCTTATTCTGTAAAGGTAAGAAATGCTGAAAACCATTATGGGAGGAAAATGCTGTTCAGTTGAGTTTGCTAGTGAGTTATTCTTCAGGTTTGATCAGGTGTGATGAAAGTTGGCCTAGAAATTAACGTGCAATTTCTTCAAAGTGAAACTTTGCTTTATATTGAAAGTATTTCTTACAAAAAATGCAAATATATATGTATTCCAATACATATCTTTAAAGCTACACAGTGTAGGAATATTGAGCAATAGAAGTACCTACTTAGTTTGCGTGATTGCCAGGCATTTGTTGAGCAAAATTGACTGTGAGAATAGTCCCGTCTTTTGATATAGAGTAACTTTGTCTTCAAATTTTTTTGTGCAATAGTACAAAGTTTTGACATGGATTCAAAGTCCTCAGGAACATGTTTCATAGAAATTAGAGTTTCACTGGGAGTTTTCATGTACTTACACTGGCTACAAACAACTGCATTTAAATGATTCTGTTAGGAAATTAAAGAGGATTAAAGTCCTGGACTTGTGGATTACTCCAGTATCTGTCTCGGAGTCTTCGCAGATTGTTTTAGCACTCTAGTCAGATGGGCTTTATTTAAAAACTCTGGGAATCTTAAATGAAGATTTGGTAGTTTATTTCCATTTAGTATGTAAACAAATGTATGAATATTAGGAAGGAATAGCTTGATTTATGTGTAGCCAAACATCATCATTAGGAATAAAGAGCGCATCTCAAACATGGGATTTTGCTAATAGAGACTAGCTGCTTTTAGAATATTTTCCTGTTCTCCTTACGTCCTTCGTCCAACACATGCAGCACATACACGCATATCTGCACTTGCAGTGTCGAACTGCAATACGGCGTTGTGTACAACTGCTGATACTGTGCCCTGTCAGTACAAGGTACTCTCTGAAAGTAAGGGGCAGGTGACTGGGCACAGAATTTTTTTAATATTGAAAATATATAAACAAAGATAACATGTATTTCCAGGATGGCTGTGCATCTTGTGAAAAATATGCACTGGATATGGAGTACTCTGCAATGGTGGCTTTTTGTGGGTGTGGGGTGGCTTTCTGTTTGGTGGGGGTTTTTAGTTTTTCTTTCTTTCTGTCTTTCTTTCTCCAAATGTATAGTCTCTCTATGTGCTGCACCTGGCTTTGGAAATAGTATTTTTAAAAGTCTAATGTTTGCTATAATGGTATTGTTCAAAAAATACTGTTACCTCCAGTTTCTCTAGCTAATCTTTGATGTTCTAGCTATTCCTTAAAATGTATAAGTACTGCAAAAAATGATGGAATTATATTGGTTTATCTAAGGCAAAATTATTTCCCGGATGGTTGCCGCTTGGTTGTCTGTAACTGGGGCTTGGGTTATTGGCCCCGGTTCAAGTTCTAGTTTAGTGAGCATTGTGTTCTAATGAACAAGACTAAATAAGTGCCTTTTTGCTTTTTATAACTGATGTTAAAAATCTGTCTGAGCAAATATTGCAAGTTTTTTTGCTTTGCTTTTTCTTAGAAAATGATGAAGGATAACAATCTGGTCCGCCACTTAGATGCTTGTGAAACTATGGGTAATGCCACAGCCATCTGCTCCGACAAAACAGGGACACTCACCACCAACCGCATGACGGTCGTCCAAGCCTACGTTGGTGATGTCCACTACAAAGAGATCCCGGACCCAGATTCTGTACCCGCCAAAACCCTTGATTTGCTGGTTAATGCAATTGCTATCAACAGTGCTTATACTACAAAAATTCTGGTAAGTAGGCTGCTTCTGTCAATAAAATGAAACGTGGCAGAAGGAGTGGTAATTTTTTTAAGCGTCATTAATTCCTTAACATCCTGTTGTTGCTTATAAAGAGTTAAATACTGTTGAGGTCCTCAAAATGAGAACGGGTCCTGTAAAACTATACATAGATATTTTACGGTTTCCTTCTAAGGATAGGGATGTACTTACAAGTAAAAGACCATGTTACATTTTAAAAATCCCTACTGCTGTTAGGTTGGAATGGCCCAGTTTCAGAGCAAGTAAATTTGCTAACACAACTCATTTTCACTGAGGCTTGATATGTGTAAAATTATTTTAGTGTGTCTAAGAACTTTCAATTAATTCTCAAACAGGACAAATTGGATTGGTTAAGTCACTGAGGTTAATGATCTTTGTTCATTCTGGTTTCAGTTGAATTACATCCAGAAGTATTTTATTCAGTCTGTAAGGGAGGTCAAAATGGAAATATCACGTTTGCTTGTGGCATTAGATTCTGATGTACAGAGCTAATTAAGAGGCCGAAAACTTTTGCAATTCCAATAGATTTGTTCTTTGAAAGGTCAAGCTTAATCTTAATATTGCAGAACAAATACATTTTTTTAGTTTATGAATTTATGTATTGTGCTTTTTATAGCTCTGTGCTGAGGTGTGCAATACAGCCTTGCATGCATTTCACGTCTGTTTTAAAAATAGTCTTTTCAAATACAATCACAGAAAACAGTTGGTGAAGTACTGCTGAGTGTTGGAGCATAATTTCCTTCCATTCTTTCTATGTAAATGTCTGGATATAGTAACAATCAACACTTCGAAAAAGAATGTTTAGAGAAACCT